GTGCACTCTATCAATTTACTACCCAGAGGTGCCTTGGAACTTTGATTCAGGCTCTCTGAGGTTCAGTTTCTCTATCTCTGGCACATAAGTTAGTTATAAGGCTGAACATCCCACCAAAGGCAACTCCTCCCAAGCCACTCTGGGTTGTACACAGCTATGATTTAATATCACACCCAAACCCTAGCAACCATTGATATTATTACTGGGATTACAGGTATCAGCCACTGCATCTGACCCCATAGCTTTTTGGTTATGGATAACTTATTCCTTCTTAGCACTTAATAGTATTTCATTATAAGAAAGTTTGCTTATCCATTAGCCTACTGTGGGCATCTTGGATGCTTCCAGTTTTGGGCAGTTATAAGTAAAGCTGCAATGAACAATTGAATTATAGTGTTTTGAGTGGACATAATTTTCAAGTCAATTGGGTAAATACATAAGAGCATGATGGCTGGTAATCCTAGCACTCTGGGAGGCTGAGGCAGGCAGATAGTCTAAGTTCAGAAGTTTGAGATCAGCCTGGGCAACAGTGAGACCCTGTTTCTAAAAACAGGCATTGTGGCAGGAGCTTGTAGTCCAGCTACTCAGGAGGCGGAGGCAAGAAAATTCCTTAAGTCCAAGAGTTTGAGGTTGCTGTAAGCTACAATGCCACAGCACTCTACTGAGGGTAACAAAGTGAGATTCTGTCTCAAAAAAAAAAAAAAGTACAATTGCTGAATTCTATCATAAAATTATTTAGCTTTCTATTCATTTAAAAAAAATTCAAATTAATATGAGGGTACAAATGATTAAGTTGCAATGTTTGCATTTGTTAGTTAAGGTCCCTATTACAATTGTGCCCCTCAACCAGGAGGTATGCCATGTACCCTTACATGGTGCCCATTAGGGGAGAACACATCAATCCTTCTCCCTCTTTCCCTCTCCCCGACCAGTTTAAGTTAAATTGAGTTTTTCTCTCTTGTGGGCATGTTCTTGTTTCTCTACTGGCTTCATTGGATACTTGCTTTTCCATTCTTATATTTTACTAAGCGAATGTTCTCCAACTCTATTAGGTTAATACAAAAGATGTAAATTCTCCATATTTTTTAAATCTTTCCACTCAATTAAAAAATTATTTTATTTACATTTGAATAGGTAACAAATAGGGTATCAAATACAAGTTTTCCTTGTATTTTACACTCATTTCAGCGAATTTCCCTTCTTCAAAGGCAGCATCTGTTCTATTTCTTGTGATACTTTTAGGTGCTAGAAGAAATTATTCAAAACTTTCAAATAAAGCAGGAAGAGGGCTACATGCTTTTTCAAAGTCATACTGAGGTACTACAGAAGAGGCTTATCCATGGATTCACTAATTTACTATGGCACTGGTTCTCAGAGTGTAGTATGTGGTCTCTCGGGGAGGGGTTTTGTCCTCCAAGGCCAAAATAACAATAGTATTTCGTTACTTGCTTTTTAACTATGTTGGCCTTTGCAATAATGGTGTAATAGAAATGATGGATAAAACTCCAAGTGTCTTGGCAGGAATCAAGGAAGTAGCACTATACCAGTTTGCCAGGACTACTATCACAAAGTACCACAGATTGGGTGACTTAAACAACACACATTTATTCTTTCATAGTTCTGGAGGCCAGAAATCCTAGATCAAGAAGAAGTTAGTATCTGGTGAAGGCTCTCTTCCTGGCTAGCAGCAATTTCATTATGTTGTCACATGACCTTTTTTCTATGCGCGGGCAGAGCAAGATCCTAGTGTCTCCTCCTCTTATAAGGATACTAGTTCTATTAGGTTAGGGCGACACTTGTATCTTCTCAAGGTCCATCTACTCACCATTTTGACTCCAAATACAGTCATTTTAAGGATTAGGGATTAAACATACAAATTTTGTAGGGGGCACATTTAGTCCATAATAGGTACCAAACTCTACTAGTCGTTCACTACTTCACATTTATAGTTTTAAAGTTGCCAGCTTCATTTTATACTGCTTCTGTGTTAAAATTATTACTTTTATTAAAATTTGACACCTGAGAACAAGTCTTTTTAATATTCTGTGTCATTAAAAGACAAGTACACATAAGATATTTTTCTTCATACTGAAGAATGGTTGCTTGCAAAGCACTTGTGCAATTAAGTTGCCAGTTGAGATGAACCTCTTTTCATGGGGGTTGATAACATCTATTGTCAATAATAAAGTTCATATTTTTAAGGTAAAATTAGAATTTTAAAAAGCCCCTATCTAGCCTCCATAAGCTTGACAGCTCTCAATAACTAAAGACTTCTCTGGTAAGTTTACTGGTGATTTTAATAAATGTGATTTTTCTTTTCTTTTTCGAGACAGTCTCACTATGTCACCTTCAGTAGAGTACTGTGCTGTCACAACTCATAGCAACCTAAAACTCTTGGTCTTAAGTGATTCTCCTGCCTCAGCCTCCCAAGTAGCTGGGACTACAGCCTCCCACTACAACACCTGGCTATTTATTTTTGTTGCTGCAGTTGTTATTGTTGTTTAGCAGGCCTGGGCTGACTTTGAACCCACCACCCTTGGTGTAATGTGGCCACTGTGTTATGGGGACCAAGTCAATAAATGTGATTTTTCAATACTGTTTAATGAAATGAGCAAACATTTGGAAAGAGCTGCATAACACAGTGGACTAACAATTTCAAATGACTACTGCATAATGGTACAAAATTATGTATTTATGTAAAGATGTATTCAAAGTGGATGATAGATCAAGGGGTATTAAAGTAGGAAAAGTTTATGGATAGAGTTTTAGATTCCATATTGCAGGTAATCTTTAAGAAACTACCACCTATAGAATTTTAATGTAGTTTTTCTTTTTTTTGGAGACAGAGTGTCACTATGTCGTCCTGGGTATGCCATGGCGTCACAGCTCACAGCAACCTCAAACTCTTGGGTTTAAGCAATTCTCTTGCTTCAGCCTCCCAAGTTGCAGGGATGATAGATGCCTGCCACAACGCCTGGCTATTTTTTGGTTGTAGTTGTCATTGTCTGGTAGGCCTGGGCTCAGTTCAAACCCGCTAGCTCTGCTGTATGTGGCTGGCACCCTAGCCGCTGAGCAACAGGCGCCAAGTCAAATTTTAATGTAGTTTTAAAGGTGAATACCTACATTTACTTGAAAAGAGAAAACACTTTTTTCATTTGTATGAGATTAGACTTTTTCAGATACTTCATTCAAAACAATATATTGCAATGCAGTGAATGCAGAAGCAGATATGAGAATCTTGTCTTCTACAAGGCCAGAAATGAGAGATTTACAAAGATCTAAAAGCACGCTACTCTTCTCACTGAACTTTCATTGCTTTGAAGAATATTTTTTCATAAAAGTATGTTAACATGTAAGTGTTTTATAGTTTCGTTGTTATTGTTGTTGAGACAGAGTCTCACTGTCACCCTCAGAGGAGTGCGTTGGCATCACAGCACACAGCAACCTAAAACTCTTGGGCTTAAGTGATTCTCTTGCCTCAGCCTCCCAAGTAGCTGGGACTACCAGTGCCTGCAACAATGCCTGGCTATTTTTTGTTGCAGCTGTCATTGTTGTTTAGCTGGCCTGGCCTAGGTTTGAACCCACCAGCCTTAGTGTATGTGGCTGGCGCCTTAACCACTGTGCTATGGGTGCTGAGCCAAGTTATTTAAAAATGAATAAGTATTTTAAATTTTTCTAAGTTTTAATTTATAATATAGTGAATATTGATAAACATAACTCACATAAACAAAAGTTCTTTGGAGTGTTCAGCAGATTTCTTTTTTTTTTTTTTGCAGTTTTTGGCGCGGGCTGGGTTTGAACCTGCCACCCCTGGTATATGGGGGCAGAACCGTACTCCTTTGAGCCACAGGCACCGCCTGTATTCGACAAATTTTAAGAGCATCAACGTTCCTAAATATAAGTTTCAGAACCACTATTCTGGGGCAACTTCCCGGAGTTTAATTTTATTTACAATTCATTATATGCCATACACTATGAAGATACGTTAATTTGTCCATTTTAGTCCACTAAAGGTGAAAATTATTTCTATTCAATAGAAAAAGATAACCTACCGTTTTACCATCCTTGCAGAACACCATACAGCTTTATATCCAACCTAACAATCTTACATCCATGTTTTCTCAAAACGTTTATGAATACTCAGTTTCTCAAAATGCTCTTTGAACTGGTTCCTCCATTAATTTGTTGAGTAAATCTTGGACAGGTTTCCATTGTATATTTGTATGTGTCAAGTTTTTCAAGACTATGCTTTGAGATACTGACACGTATATGTCGTGTAGAACTGTAAACATACTATATACAAACATGTATACATTTTACAGCGATGGCATACCAGATTTCCTATTCTACAGGCTCTTTTCCTTTTACCTGCCACTTTTAATTTCTTCAGATGCAATGTCTTGCGTTTCATTCACAGCTATAATTAATAAGAAATCCATACAATTCACATACACGCATTTTCCCTTTCCTGGCCCACTTACAAAAGCTCACTGCAGCGGCCGCCACAGACACCGAGGTTGGTGGGTTCGAACCGGCTGGGCCAGCTAAAACAACAACGATAACTGCCGCAACAACAACAACAAAAAGCCGCAAGTTGTGGGGGGCGCCTGTAGTCCCAGCTACTTGGGAGGCTGAGGCAAGAGAATCGCTTAACCCAAGAGTTGGAGGCTGCTGTGAGCTGTGACGCCACAGCACTCTACCTAAGGCGACATAATGAGACTCTATCTCAAACAAACGAACAAACAAACAAACAAAAAGCTCACCGCAGCTCCAGTAACTACTGGCGCTAGACAACCGGAAACACACCAGGCTCCACAGACCACGTGACCCCCCACCCCCCGGGTCAAGTGACGCTTCCCTCACCCAAATTCTTCCGCCCGCTTCAAACAAGGAGGCCCGTCCCCCCATCTGCGCAGCGGACACTGGTCTCCTGGCGCGTGGGAATAACCTTGCGACCCACACTGGGCTCTTTTACGGAGAGCAGCTGGAGGCTAGCGAGGCAGCAGGGTCCCGAGAAAACAGCCGTGCGCCACTGAGCCTAAAGAGCGCGGGCCGGAAGTTCCGCGGTTGCGCAGCCCGGCGGAGCCGTTGGCCTGGCACGCCGGAAGTGGCCAATTGGCCAGTCTGAGGAGGTCCCGGCGTAGTGGATCGTGTCTGGGACTGGCAGCGAAATGGAGCCCGGGGCAGCTGAGTTGTATGACCAGGCTCTGCTAGGCATCTTGCAGCACGTGGGCAATGTCCAGGACTTTCTGCGCGTGCTTTTCGGTTTCCTCTACCGCAAGACTGATTTCTATCGCCTGCTGCGCCACCCGTCGGACCGCATGGGCTTCCCGCCTGGGGCCGCGCAGGCCTTAGTGCTGCAGGTGAGGTGGGCGGGCCGGCGGTCTAGGGAACCGCGGCCCTGGGCCTGCTCCGACTCCCGGTCCTAGTGCGGCTGCTCCTCTAATTCTCTCAGCCTGTTTTCTTCCTTTCCTGGGGCCCTTTGAGCACTAGGCTTTAGGAATCTGAAGCTCAGATCGGATGTCAGGTTACTCTGCTAAGGTCCCAGGACGTCTTGAGGTGTCAGAACTAGTAATAATCCTCCGTTGAGGGCTCTGCTCGGCGCCCCGCAGTTCATACCCCTCACTGGGGGCTCCTGGTCACTAAAATCCGTGCAGGCCACACGAAAGGACGGCTATTCACAACAAAATCCTGCACGCCTCTGAACTACCATACTCTGGAGGTGGTAGGGATGACAGTGGCTTTTTGATGATCAGCGGGTGTGGCCGCTGGTTTGAAATGTAACTTCCCATGTAGTAGACAATCATTGTAGTGATTATTAAGTTTTCAGGTGGACTTAAATACACCCCAGGTTAAATGTATTGTACGCTTGAAGCGCTGTTAATAGTCATTCAGTGAAGTTGACTGGGCACTTTGTATTAGTAAGCGAATGTAGTTTACAACTGTCACCTGCCACAGGCACTAGTGATGTAGGTGTTTAAGTATTGGTCTCTCTCCTTGTGACGCTTAAAAGTTGAGAGAAAACGTACAAAGTAATAGAGAACTCTGCAAGGCCAATTATGTGATAGAGCGTGTTTATAAGGAAAGGAATTCGATGGTTGAGAAATAAAGATGGTTTTGTAGGTGGGACTTTTGATGAGATTGACAAAAAAGTATTCAGCCAAGCACACTGAGTCAATTTGTAGAAACCAAAGACGATAGAGATGCTGATACCTTGTACAATTCTCTAGAACTTTACAGTTTATAAAGTGTTTCAGATGTTACCTCCTGAAGTTTTACTGTAGGCTACAGGTTGCTCAAGTGAAACCAAAGTTTAGACTGTCTTCTTAGGAATTTTCTTTTTCTGCCCTGATTGATGGGAGTGTTGAGGTTCACCATTCTGGAACTTGAAAGCTATCCCCTGAGCAGACTTTTAGTGTAAGACTTCTCATGCTTTTCCTACAGTTTCAAAGGGCTTACATGGGCTAGATGCACAGCTGGAAGAACCCTCAGCAAGAGCAAGTGAAAATTTCATTCTATTTTGTAATATATTAGCATGTTTTTAAGACAAAAAGTTTAGAATGGCATGCCATTTATTACATTTGATAAGTCTGTATTTCATCTGGAGTCAAATTTGAGAGTGTCTCTTAGTAGAAGTCCTCAGCATGAGAATTCAGAAAGCTGGCTATATTTTATTTCTTATGAAACTTATTGGGAAATCTTGGGGGAATCACTTCATCTCTTGTCAGCTGAGAAAGTTAACTGGAGGTCACAGATTGGAAGGTCTTTTCCAAGCTTTGAGATTCTATGACTCTAGAATAAGCACTGAGGACATGTAGAAGTTGTGGTTTCTGGAGTTATGGGAGAGACATTCCTGGTGGGGTGGATAGACAAGTCAGAGCAGGTTGGATGTACTGTGTGAGTAGAGGAGGTGGACACAGTGAGGAGCCAGTGGGTGGGTCCTTTGTTCAAAGTCCCAGGTATTAACGGAGAGTCCTGGTTGTTGATCTTCATTTGTGGAGTTCAGGAGCATGAGTGGCTCCAAGGGCAGAGGACCCAAAGTGTCAGAAACATGAACGCTAGAAGTGAGTTAGGGCTTCTGATTATCTGCAGAAGTAGAAATGGGTCTGATGTTGTTTCCAGTTTTTAACCTTTTAGGATTTTATTAACTTTCCTATGCCTACATCATCTCCTTGTATTTTGGTGCTTTCTGTGTAATTTTTTATTTTACTCTTTTGCTGGCAAGATCTTGGTCAAGTTGCTTATAATCTCTTCAAGTTTTATTTTTCCTTATCTTTGAAATGTTGATGCTATCATCTTCCCAAGATTTTTGATAGAATGTTTGTATGAGCATTTGACACAGTTCATGTGTTAGCATCCTTTTGTTCCATCGGTGCAGCCCACCGAACATTGTTATTTGATAACTGTCAAATAACATTCTAGCCTTTTGGATTCTGATTTCCCTGCTGGTTTCCCAGGTGAATCTCTCCGTTTTCCTTCCTAGCTACTGTAGGAGCTGTTGCTTTTTGTTGATGAGCCTATTCTTGGAGCTGTAGCATTTTCTCTAGTGGTTCCCTATGGAAGAAGCGCCTCTCATTTAAGTTCTAATTGAGATCCTCTTTGTTCTAAGAGGGCTCCTTAGATTTCTTTTATTGGAAGTGTTCATTACCACCCACAATCTTGACAGGGCATCGAAGGATGCATCATATCCCTCTTGTAACAGAGTTGTCATGTGTGCGTCTGTCTTGACTGTACTTTTTGGTAGGGAGGTCTTAGCTCCTTCGTGAGTATGACTATGTTCCAAAAAAGGTTAAGGACTTACCTACATATTTTGCATTCTTAAGAAGGCAGGAGCTGTCACTTTTTGTTCCTTGCACATTGTAGGTACATAGTGGGTGTTTATTGAAATGAATGCTCAGGCCTCCCTTCAGCCCTTGCTATTCAGTAAAAGATAGCAGCAGTCCAGTAAGCCTGGTGTATTTTGTGGATTAAAGTTCAACATTTTCTTTCTTTCTTTCTTTTTTTTTTTTTTTTTGAGACGAAGTTTCACTTTGTCGCCTTTGGTAGAGTGCCGTGGCTTCACAGCTCACAGCAACCTCAAACTCTTGGGCTTTAGTGATTCTCTTGCCTCCCAAGTAGCTGGGACTACAAGTGCCCGCCAGAATGCGGGTATTTTACTTTCTGGTTGTAGTTGTCATTATTGTTTGGCAGGCCCAGGCTGGATTGGAACCCGCCAGCTCCGGCGTATGTGACTGATGCCCTAGCCACTGAACTACAGGCACCGAGCCTAAAGTTTAACATTTTCATCTTTAATTTGTGAATCGGAATTTTTGGTGCCTTTATAGCCTATAGTGCCAGGACAGTGTGTTCTTTGTATTGTGAACAAGACTGTTAGGGGTCTGTAAAAACGATGACAACTGAGGTAACCTAGCTGCTCATAAGCATTCCTGAGGTATTGTACATGTTGTTATTAGCTTTGGCTTGCCAATTTTTGATTTTACTGATTTTTGGAACCCTCCTGTTAAGAGTGTTTTCTATAAGCTTTGGTTGAAATTGCAGTGCATTTCCATTTTGCCAATGGGAAAACTTTCTGGTCTACTGCTTTTTAGTTTTCTCCTTTACTAGATTTTGCTTCATTTCTATAGAATGTGTAGTACATTGCTGGGCAAATGATCTGATTGCTGGATTGCTGTGTGATTTTAGGTATTCAAAACCTTTGACCACATGGCCCGTCAGGATGATGAGAAGAAGAGGAAGGAACTTGAAGAGAAAATCAGAAGAAAGGAGGAAGAAGAGGCCAAGGCTGTGGCCACTGCAGCTGAGAAGGAGCTGGTCCCAGCACCAGTTCAGGAAATAGAGATCGACCCTACCACAGAATTGGATGGGGCTCTGGAAGTAAAGAAAGTGCAGCCTCCAGGCCCACAGGACACTGTGCAGGAGGTTGCTCATGGCTCAGATGAGGCGGAAGCTCCAGGAGTAGTGGCTGATGCCCCTGAAGTCACTAGGGAACCTCCGGCTCTTCCCAGGTAGGAATTCTTATTTCACTGCTTCCTTCTTTCTTGCCTGACATCTGGTGGTTGGGTTTGTCAATAAGTCATTCTTATTTTGTAACACACCAATTCTTTATCTCAGCATATATTTAGCTCTTCTTATTTGCAAACTCCATTACAATCCTTCAGTAATGTAGGATGAGAGGTTATTTGGCTTTAGTCATCTTTATTTTGCTTCCTTATAAGGTAAGGTAATAATCTGTTTACAGTTATACATCCAATTAAGAGCCAGAGCCGAAATTCGAGTACTTGGCCTACCTCACAAAGACCTGACTTTGTGTGTAGAAACTTAGCCTCAGTGTCTAGATTCTTTGTGTTTTTCTCCCGGCAGTAGTACTGCTGGAATGTGCCCACAATGTCTGAGATATAAGGACACCAGTCTTAAATAGAATGGATTCACATCCTGGCTCTACCACTTTCTGAATGTATTACCTTGGGCAAGCAATATAACCTTTATGTTTCTTGGTTTCCTACTCTGCCTATTCTATCTGCCTTATTGGGCTATTGTGAATTTTAAATGAGCTAGTGATCAAGTAGTTAATGAGCGGTCGAGCTTGAATATGACACAGAGGTTCCCTGAATAGAGCTTTGTTCTATACTTGTACTTACTTTTCAGGAGTTATGTTTCCCAGGTACTCTAAAATTAAGTTAGACAGTCTCCTGCAGCCTGAGCAAGAGAAACTGATACCTCTTATACAGGAATTGTGTGGCATCATCTACTGAATAGCTGTCATCCTTCACGCCCACTTTGTTTTTAGGAAAGTCTACTCTGTCTTTGGCAGGACTTGTTCCCCCCTACCTTGACTGTTCTTCTATTCTCTTTGCATGCTTTCTCTAACCTGTTTGAAGGGAGTTTTTGAATCTTTGAATTTAGTTTCTAGTTACTGAAGCAAAGTGAATAACTTGGAATGACTTATAAAATATGGAGGAAGAGAAAAGTTTTGTAAAGATAAGTTGGGGCAAGACTGCAAAGTCTTAATTAAAGGCCAAGCTAACCAATGGATTTCAGAGAAAACTTTTGTTAGGTGGGTGAACCAAGTTGTTGGAGAAGGGGAGCAAGTGTTGAGTATGGATCTCTGATTGAGAAGGGACAAAATGAGGATTTAGAGTCTAGAAGTGGGAGGCAGAGGGTCGAGGGTAGAGATCTGTTACTTCCCTTTAGCTTGAAGAACTTTCCTTAATATTTCTTTTAGTGTCTTCTACTGGTAATGAATTCTTTCAGCTTTTGTTTTCCAAAAGTGTCTTTATTTCGCCTTCTAATTCTGAGGATACTTTTGCTGAATATAGAATTTTAGTTTGATACTTTTTTCTTTGAGCATTTTAAAAAGTATCGTTCTGTTGTTTTCTGGCTTGCTTTGTTTCTGATGAGAAGTGATTAGGCATTCTGTTTCCCTGTATGTGATATATCCTCATTACTCACCCTTAAGTTGCTTTTTTTTCTTGAGACAGAGTCTCACTATGTCCCCCTTGGTAGAGTGCGTTGGCATCACAGCTCACCACAACCTCAAAGTCTTGGGCTTAAGCGATTCTCTTGCCTTAGCCTCTCAAGTAGCTGGGACTATAGGCACCTGCCATAACGCCTGGCTATTTTTTTGTTGTTGTTATACTTGTTGTTTAGCAGGCCTGGGCTGGGCTTGAACCCGCCAGCCTTGATGTATGTGGCCAGCACCCTACTCAGTGAGCGAGCGCCACCACCCTCAGTTGCTTTTAGGATATTTTGTTTATCATTAGTTTTAACAATTTGTTTATGCGTTGTTCTTGTGTAGTTTTCCTTGTGTTTATCCTGCTTAGGGACTTCTGAGCTTTTTCCAGGCTGTCTCCTACCCCTGGCCTTGGATCTCTTTTCTCTTTGTGCTTCCTTTAGAATAGTTTCCGTTGCCCTGTCTTTAGGTTTATACTTTTTTTCTCCTTTAGTGTCTGATCTTTAGTTAAACTCATCTAGTAAATTTTTTATTTCAGATACTTCAATTTTTTAATTTTTAATTTTATTAAGGCAGGTTCTCACTCTTGCCTAGGCTGGAGTGCAATGGCCTCATCACAGCTCACTGCAATTTTGAACTCCTAGAGTCAAACTATCCTTGTTCCTCAGCCTCCTGAGTGCTGGGACTAAGGGTGTTCACCATCACATCTAGCATTTTTTCCTGTTTTTAGTAGGGACAGGGTCTTGCTTTTGTTTGTTTGTTTTTTGAGACAGAGTCTCACTATGTCACCCTCCGTAGAGTGCTATGGTATCGTAGCCCACAGCAACCTCAAACTCTTGGGCTTAAGTGAGTCTCTTTTTTCAGCCTCCCAAGTAGCTGGGTCTAGAGGTGCCCACCACAATGCCCAGCTATTGTTGTTGTTGTTGTTGTAGTTGTCATTATTGTTTAGCAGGCCCAGGCCAGGTTTGAACCTGCCAGCCCCAGTGTATGTGGCGGTGTCCTAACCACTGAGCTACGGGTGCCAAGCCTAGATTTTGTTTTACTCCTTAAAATTGTTTAGTTTTGCTTGCTGGCAACTAATTTATTTGCAGATCAACATGATCTTTTAGAAGCTTCTTTTTTAGCTTTGTTAAAGTGTTTCTAGGGTACCTTTATTCTAGGACTACTTTATTCTTACTTCTAAGACAGGGGCGTCTTTGGGGTCTCTCATGAATGTTCTAGCTGTTCAATGAAGTCTTTCCATTCTTGCTGTTTAAAAGTTAAGCATCATCCCAATCTTGTGTGAGCGTTAGGAATTGTTGAAGTCAGTTACCCAGGAGTTCGCCTTCCTGTCTCATGGAGTCACACTTTACACATGCAGTTTAATGTTCAGTCAGTGACTTAAGGGGGCCCTGTCAGTTTTCTGGGGTTTTTTATACATGTATCTCCTCTTTACAGGTAGTATTTACATAAAATAATCAGATACAAGAATGAAGATTAAATACATAAAGGTGTTTGTCTTAGTCTGCTATAAGAAAAAACTGTAGCCTGGTGGCTTATAGACAACAGAAATTTATTGCTTATGGATCGGGAGGCTGGAGGTCCAAGATCAAGTTTTTGGTAGATTCAGTGTCTGGTGAAGGCCCACTTTCTGGTTTGTAGGACGACTGGCTATGTCTGCATAAGGTGGAAGGGGTGAGCTCTTTATAGAGTCTCTTCTGTAAAGATGCTAATATTATCATATTGGGGTAAAGATTTAACATGAATGAACGTTTTGACACAATAACTAGGTAAATGACATGAAGGCTATGTTAACCAGTTTGATGAAATGTTTCAAATTGTATGTGAAAACACCACACTGTACCCCAGAAGTGCATTAATGTACATAGTTACCATTCAATAAAAAAAAAAAAAAGATTTAACATGAATTTTGGGACACAAACAATCTACATAGCATTGTTCATCTGAGTTTTATTTATTCAAGCATTATTTATGTCAGCAAAATTTTGAAATGATGCTGAATTTTTTAGTAAGTGAATAAATAAATAAATAAATACATTTATAAAATGTTTTTATTTTACTTTTTTTTTTTTTTTTGCAGTTTTTGGCCAGGGCTGGGTTTGAACTTGCCACCTCTGGCATATGGGACTGGTGCTGTACTCCTTTGAGCCACAGGTGCCACCCCCTTATTTTACTTTTTTTTTTTTTTTAAGAGATAGGGTCTTATTGTCACTCAGGCTGGAGTATAGTGGTGTGATAGTGGCTCACTGCACCCTTGAATTCCTGGACTTATATGAAGTGTCCCCCGTGCCTCAGCTTCCTGGCTCAGCTTTCTGAGTAGCTGGAACTATAGGTGTGTGTCACCATATTCAGCTATTTAAAAAAATTTTGTAGAGATGGGGTCTTGCTATGTTACCCAGGCTGCTCTTGAACTCCTGGTCTTAAGTCATCCTCCTGCCTTGGCCTCTCAAAGTGCTGGGATTATAGGCATGAGCCACCAAGCCTGGCCCTTGTAGAATGTTTTTAAAGATTACTGTGGTGGTCAGTTTTGTGTGTCAGTTTGCTTAGGCTATAGTCCCCAGTTATTCAAACATAACACTCATCTGGTTATTGCTGTCAGGGTATTCTGTAGATGTTATCAAAGTCATAATCAGTTGACTTTAAATCAGAGCTGTTATTCTAGGTGATCTGAGTAGTACTGAACCATCAGCTAAAAGCCTAAAGAACAGAGCAAAGGCTCCGCTGAAGTAGAAGAAATTCCTCCTGTGGACAGTAGCTGCACTTAGTTTCTGGTGAATTCCATAGTGGCTTCCCACAGTCTTCAGTTCCAGTACTCAGGAGGCTGAGGCACAAGGATAGTTTGACCGCAGGAGTTCAAAATTGCAGTCTAGCTAGCCTCACAATCACATAAGCCAATTCTTTGCAATAAATCTCTTAGTGAATACAGTTATCCCCTGGCATCCAGGACCACCTATAGATACCAAAATCCACATTTGCTCAGATCCTTTATATAAAATGTTATAGTATTTGCATGTGACATAATTGTATCCTCCCATATATTTTATCGTATTGTTACTTATAATCCCTAATACAGTCTAAATCCTATGCATATAGTTGTCAAACTGCATTGTGACTTGACAAGTGACAAGAAAAAGTGGGACATACTCTGTATTGATGAAACCATCCATTTGGGGGGGAATATTTTCAATTTGCTGTTGATTGAATACACAGAGGCAGAATCCATGGATGCAGAACTTATGGATGTTGAGGGCTGACTGTATGTATTGCTTAGTCTGTTTGTTTGGTTGAACCTTGACTTACACAGATATTTTTATGATGTAATGTTAAACCAGAAGAGGAAGATTCCGACTGCACAATCTAACACTGAATTTGGAAAACATTTAAATTTATATATATGTCAAAAAAAAGCCTAGAAGGAAATAATGATCAATAATGGTAATCACAGTGCTGGAATTCTTATTGTTCTTCATTTTCATCTTTGTCCATTGCTGTATTTTATATATTTTTCCCTTCTGCTTGTCTGGCCATCCATTCATCCATCTGTCACCTGGGCTA